ACTACTTAAGGATCAAACAAGAGAGACACAGAATATGCAGGACTCAATAGTATAATACTTTTTGCAGAAAAGTTGATCATTAAGAAATCAAACATTATTAGGTGAAGAGTATTTTTTTCTAAAGTGCCTAGAAAAGAATAGACATTCTAATGATCAACTTGCAAAATGCTAATCTGAATCAGATAACAATCTAGTGGTACACTATGTATTATCAAGTGGAGCAGTCCTAGAATATTGACATTTTTTATATTAATATATGCACAAAGTTACATTACTTTATTTAATATACTCATTAACATATGACTAACTCACAAATTTTATTATCCTCCCCTAAATGAACAGATCAATGAACTTTCTGATAGTGTACAAATGATTTACTGTGTGAAATATTTTGGCACAAAAAAGTAAAATCTGTTAGAGTACATACCTTAAGTGCAAGTCTTCCCCTGTCATGAAAGTGAACGGTGTCTCGATAAAGAGTGTCTTGACAAGTTCAGCAGACATAAACCAAGAACTAGAGAGGAAATCCACCTGAACAATTTTGTTCACTGTGATGTTATAGGCAGGATCAGGCAAGTAAAGCCCTGCTTCCTTGGATCGAAACTTCCTGTAGCTCGGAAAACTAGAATCCTTCTGTCTAAAAGGCAAAATCCTACCAATGCTTCCCAAAACAGAATTCTTGTACTTGTCTGTTCCTGCAACATGTGCTAACATTTGCAGCATCTTTTTCCCCGGGATCATGTCATCATCAATGATATATACAAGATCAGCTTCTGTTTGTAAGGCCAATTGGAACCTTCCATAGTACTTGAAATCATAGCTTGAACTGATAAAGCTTATTCTTGAGTCATTATATCTATGCACAGTTCTCTTGAGGGAGTTTTCATTTGGACTTCCAAATGAGAGTACCCAAACATGATGAAATGGGAGGGTCTGGCCAAGCAAAGAGTCAAGCTGAGCACAAAGTGTTTTCCTCTTGAAATGATTCAAAATCACTGTGATTTTTGGCTTGTTTGGACCGCGCAAATCCCATTTGGACTTCATCGCCATCAGTTGAGATAGAGTCTCAGCACCAAAGGACTTGCTTTGAAAATCTAGCACTTCTTGATAAAGCTCTGTCTTCAACTTGATCATGACAGCATCGTTCGACTTCTTCTGTACAAAATCAATCTTTTCATGCTCACAAACTTCAGAAGGACTACTTGGTTGAGTACTTTCAGCTCTAACAACTGAATTAGCTTCCTGATTATAACGACTAACGACATGAGGAGGAATTATGAATTGCTTCCATTGGTGAGCAATTCTTGTAGTCCAACTGAAATCTGGTTTAGACCTTAAATCTATAGAGGGGCTCATGTAATACAGAAGAAATGTAGCATAAACAGCAAACATGAACTGTAAACAAGTTAACAAAGTAACAACCCTTGAAGAACCACCCTTTTGTTGTCTCATCTTAGTTTTGTCACTCAACAATCCTTCTAAAGAATCTCCACTTCTCATATCAAGATTCCCAACTAACCCCATCAAAGTTCATCCACATGAAAACTATCCACCTACAAATATATGAAGTGAAAAACAATTCTTGGAAAAAAGAAAACTCACAATTCAAGAAAATTGTTATACTTACTACAACACATAAATACAAGTAGACTTAAATAAGTGCTTGTTCATTGGATCATGGGCAAGAATAGTAAATATATAGCAGAGACAAGTGTGTGTTAATGCAGCAAAGGTCACATGGGATTAACTCTTAAAAACAAATAATACAAAGCAACGCGTTACCTTAACTATATGGTTAGTGTTCTTATAATTTCCCACTAAGGACACTAATTAAAAGCCGGCTTTGCTGCCAGAAAAGAAGGTTCACCCCTGCATTTTTTGGTACTCTAATATTTTTGGTTAGACTAAATTAATTTACAACATCAGAGTTAAATCCATATTAACTATAGTACTTCACTATTTATATAGACATGATTTATTGTAACGTAAATAGCATAATTTGTTTTTAAAGACACATATATAAAATTTTGGATACCCTTAACTTAAAAATATGGTACTTTTCGATTTTCTTGAATCCCCTCAACAAAATTCTTGCTAACAAAAAGAATATAAACTATCATGATGTCTGAGTCAGCTTTTGCGCACCACGACTAATTATATGTGATACATGCTACTTCCCACCAGCAATAGTTACCAGGTAACAAAAGGAATACATACTATAGGACACAAATATGAAGAAAAAAAAAGTTCTAGGTAGAAATATGCATTTACCTTGAAAGTAAAGAAACAAGAAAGAAATATTAGAAATGAATGGGGGGGAAATAAGATGTGCCTTTAATTTCTTATTCAGCAAATTAAGCTAAAGCAAAGCCTCCAAGGTAAACTAAAAAAAAGTTATAAGTATAAATGAAGAGATTTATATATGTGGGAGAAATTTAAAAAGGGTTGGAAAGGATTGACTTTTTTGGTTTAGTACATGAACATATTGCCTTCTTGCCAAACTCTGTCAATGTAGATATCTTAAGTAACACTAAATTAAGAAAAAAGCTTCTTTAGTTTGTCTAATTCAAAATAAAGCTATACTTATTTGGTCAACGCTGAATATTTTCATACAATTCACATCCTCTCAACTATCATGCTAAAATAAATTACACTCCTAATTAAAGGAATTTAGGTAGAGTTGGAGAATGAACAACTAATTAGTATTAAATTTCAAGTCAGGTGGCTAACTTTTAACAGGCAACCCCATTTTGACTATGCCATTACATATAATGCACATTTGGTGTTGTCCACTTCATCCAAAAGGGGATTTTTTTTCCTTCAAAATTTCACTAGGAATTGAATTCTCTTGAGAGTTTCTAATTAACGTGTAATTAAGATTTCGGAGCATATATATA